CTCTCTCTCTCTCTCTCTCTCTCACTCACTCACTCAATCAGAATCATTTACATTAAGTGCATTTATACAGCGAATTGGTTTTTGTACTCGAGTATACAGAGAGGTTCATCTCATTCTGAGTTCTTATGTATTCCTTAAATTCAAGTGAAATTGCGAACAAAATTTTTAGGGATAGGGGTACTTCCTGCAATTTTTCCGTCATCCGAGGGCTTTGAAATTATCATCTGCGCAGTTTGTGTCGTAAATAATCGAATACAAGAGGGGAAAATCCAGGAAATATCCCCATTCGGTTGAAATGATCAATTGGATTGTTCTTTGGTGCATGCAGACTTTCTTTTTCATTAACTTGGTATTTCATTTCGTTTGGTATCTGTTCTATGACTAAAACATCGGTTTTATCACTCGTGAGTTGCATCCTTTGCCTCCACCTCAGTATTTTCATTTCAATGGTATCAGTTAAATCAAATAAAACATGATCGTCGATCGATCGATCGCTTTTACTCTTATGATTACGTTCTTTGGTTTTAGCTGTATGGGTTACCCATGGCTTCGTCTCGAGTCACAATCGTATACCCCTCCCCCCCCAGATAATCAAATACTCTGATTCTCCATCCACTCAGTTCACAATTATTTACAAATCTGTGATAATGGTCTCCATTTCTGAAAAATATCTTACATAAACCGCGACCTTAACTAGATTAATGTACAATTTTACTCTCTTAATCACTATCACTTTGTCCAATTCACGATCACAGCGAAGTAACACTGCGAATTATCGCAGATATTGTTCAACAAGTTTTGTTTTTTTTATTTAAATTGCTTGTTGGTGATTTTGGTATTGCGGTTTCTTCTTTGTTGTGATTTTTTGGATTTTTGTGGTTTCTGTTGGACGTTATGATCCCTCGGGATGAGGGAGATTTAGTAGCCGTCGAGACACCGTAGTTTTTTCATCGGCGGTGATACCTCGTCTCAGCTGGTCGGCGCTGGCATTGACATTGGGGGGGCTTTCACTGCTCCTATTCCCGGACCTGAGAGACCATTGTTGTTCATGTCACCTGGGCCTCGTGGCCCTATACTCATGTTGCCGTTAACTGTGGGGGTTTGACCTGACATTTGACCCTGGAAATCATGAAAATTATTCTATCATTAATAACCGAGGATAATTGTTCGATTTTAACTGATGATAATACATTAACTGACATTATTAGTTTCCATTTTTTATGATTAATTATTAATTATTTTTGTTTTTTTATTTATCATTCAAGTTTAGTTATTGTGATTAATTTAGAGATGGAGTGAGGGGGATGAGATTTTGTGGAAGATCTCGGGATAATGTAGAAGGAATAGAGAAATTTTAAACTATTCACAACACACATTATGTGTTTACATATTTTCTTATTAAAAATATTAATTTAATTAATTATCAGCAACGAAAATTGTTCAGTAATTGTGTTAAAAAAATCGTCAATTTCGTTGACGAGATGGGGTGGCTAGAAAAATGTATAGATGTTTTGATTTTTTTTTCAGGCAAATGAAAAAAAGTTCGACTTGACATTTCACTCTGGAAATCATGAAATTATTCTATGATTAATAACCAAGAATAATTTTTCAATATTTAACTGATGATAATATATTAATTGACATGATTAATTTCCCTTTTGTTACGATCAATCAATTATTAATTTTCTTTTTAATTTATTTTTCATAATTTAATTAGTTAATTAATTACGTAAAAGTATTGCAATTGAATAAATCAATGAGAAACTCATGTAAATAAATAAATAGATGACTCTTGAAAAAATTGGAATTAAAAATTGAAAAAAAAACTTGAAAAAACATTTATGCTTACATTGACATGATTGTGTTGAATAGATTGTCCCATAGTCTGTGAAGGATGTTGATGCTGCATCTGATTATGGCCCGGATGAAGACTCTGTCCATTGCCAGGTGGTGTAGGTGGTAATTGTCTCTTGATATGCGCCAACGACGCCGGTGGATGTAGTGCCATATTAGCGAATACCAGTCTCTCCTCATAATCATATTCACAAAGTATTTTATTCTCACACAGATAAAACCTATCCCCCACGCAGAACCTGCAACATGAAACGCAAAAATGCCATTTACATGACTGGCGATAATCATTTTGTGAAAAATCATTAATTACACGAGGACATTTGCCAGAATTGTTTGACGAGATAAAAACCCACCGCCTAGGGGTCATTTCCGAAGAGATAACGATAGAGACGAGTGGTGGACTGATAATTACGCCCATCAGAGGAACGCCAATTAAATGGAAATGGAATAAAAGATAGGGTCAAGTGGTATTTGAAAGAGAAAAAATCGTCTGTTTACTGATGAAAATTTGACTTTCAGATGAAGTATAAAGTGGAAAAATACTGTCTCTAATGTTAATTATCTCGTGAGGAGGAATTTAATTGTGGAGATATTCTCTGATGAATTCTACTTTCATCTCTCTATATTATAAAGATTCAAATCGACTTCGGGCGATAAAAATTTGGTACTCGAAATTAAGACTTGCAAATTAAGGGGTCACGACGGTCAAAATAAGGGTCATGAGGGTCAAAATAAGGCTCACAAGGGTCAGATTAAAGATCACGAGGGTCAGAATAAGGATCACGAGGGTCAAAATAAGGGTCTTGAGGTTCAGAATAGGGTGACGATGGTCACGAAGGTTAGATTAAGTGCCAGAATGGTCAAATTAAGGGTCATGAGGGTCAGAATAAGGCTCACGAAAGTCCAAATAAAGGTCTTGAGGTTCAGAATAGGGTGACGATGGTCACGAAGGTCAGATTAAGGGTCATGAGGGTCAGAATAAGGGTTACGAGAATCAAAATAAGGCTCATGAGGGTCTAAATAAGGGTTACGAGGGTCAGAATAAGGCTCATGAGGATCATATGGCGGCATAGCCCCTCTAATCATTGTAATAAAGAGTAATTAATTCAATTTTCCGATTAAAAAATTATGCAATTGATTTTTAATTCTCATTTTTATTGAACATATTCTCCGGGACAATTGCCCTCTGGTTTTCAGGATTCATGAGAACGCGAGGCAAATAATTATTATCATCCACTTCCCTCTGTCCAGTGAATTAAAACCTCCCTACTCACCCCCTAAAACACATCCACGTGTGGTGAAGCTTTGATCCAGCCCGGAAATACGAAACGTCGACTGGTGTGGCACGAAACTGATATTCATAATCGTTGGGTTATGGAATGACGAAGGAGAGGGGTAAAATAGAATTATCACCATTTGCACCGCTGGTGTATGAACTCATTCTCGGGGAATTTGGCTCATAACTGTGAGCACGATTATACGGAACTGCCGGGGCTGAATTTTCGTGGATATCCTTTGAATACCTGGCGCTGAGTGATATGTATTTTTGACGATTTTACAGTGTTTTTAGGATTTAAGGGGGTGGGGAAAAAATTTGAAGGTTTTTGTTCTAGTGAATGCAACAGTTTCAATTGAGATTTTCATCAAAGGCTGCTTGAAATTCAAAGTGCAGAGGAATTTTCAGAAAATGGAAGACTTTTCACCAATTTTTTTATCTTTATTTTTTTTTATTGAGCTCAGAGAAAAAGCGTTTTAGTTTTCACGAATATGTCAGTGAGTTTTAGGAATTTATCCCCAATTTTTAGGGATTCGTGATTGGGAAATTCAGTGATTGTAAAATTCTAAAATAATATGTGATAGATCTTCGAAAATCAGTGACAAATTTCTGAACTTCAAAACTCTTTTTTCTGGGTGGCAAAGGGGAAATGAATCTGAAAAATCCAATACGCATTTGTTATTTTTTAGATGACTGAGGCATTTTTTTACGTTATCAATATTCAAGTCTGTGGACTAAATTGTCACATCATATAAAACTACGGAGGAATTTTATTTTTCTCAAATAATGTATCATAAATATTTTGTTTTATGAAAAATATTTGTCTAATTGTTATAGCCATTTGCAAAAATAACAATTGACTGAATATTTCAACAGAAATCTGTACTTTTCTAAAAAAAATCAGGAATTTTATTAATCAGAGCTGCAGCTATTCAACGTTATTCACTAAATGATGGCATCATATCCTGAAGGTGAGACAAAATATCATATTTTCTAAATAATTTGACATCAATAGTCAATACTTCGTAGGAAATATTGTCCCATTCATTAGTAACCTATCATGAAAAAACCATTAAAAAAATTCAGGCAAAATATTTCAATAATGTTTTAATATTTCACAAAATTCAGAGTATAATAATCAACATTTGCTATTCCAAGGATGAATTTATTAAACTTAGATGGAATATTCGCCTTTAAAAACTGCAGAAAGAAAATTATAAATTTCCAGAGTGCGTTGAGGCACACATGGATCACGACGCTAACATTGAAATATTAACCTCGGGGTTGACTGGAAGGAAATCACGCGAGTGGGACCAACCACTCTCTGCATGGAAAATTTCAATCTGGCCCGCCCGCGCTCAGATAACTCGCTTGAATCTTTAACGAGGGTCCCCCGCTTTCCGTTCTCCACCTCCTCACCCCACCCCCCTTACTCCGCTGTACACTTTGCCGCATCACAGGGAACGTAGGAAGGTGTCGGAGTGAATTTCCGTGGTCAGGAAAACGACGCTGACAGGACAGATGGAAGTGCCGTCCTACCAGTCTCGTTGACGATGAATAAATAACGAAAATAGAAGAGTAGGTGCAACTGAGAGAGAGAGAGTGCCAATGGGTTTTGGAGACTCCATTAGGACCACTTTACTGCCTTGATACATTTAGAATTGTCAAATAGACTAATTCGACCTGGCGGATTGCATTTTCACGTTTCAATGGTGCGATTTGATTCATTTTTCATTGGGAGAGTGTCTCGGGGAGGTTGAGGGACGCATGAATTGTATTATTCACATTTTACGTGATTTCAAGTCATGAAATACATCTTTGAGATGTTTCAAGAGTCACGTTTTTGGTTTAAGATATTTAGAATTCTTCCGAGGATTTATTTATTTAATGGAATGATCATTTTTTTTACTTTACATGAAATTTTGGGATTAATTTCAAGAATATTGCAGTTGGAATTCAATGAACTTATGTATTTATTTCAATGAAAATACTGCAATTACATGAATATTGAAAATATTGCAACTAATAAAATCGCGATTTAAATCAAAGAAACAGTTGTTTATAGTTAAAAAACTATTAAATTGATCTGATTAAAAATGCTAATAGAAATCAGATTTAAGTTTGAATAAAAGTTTCAAAATTTCAAATAAATTACTTGATGTTCATTTTTCCCCAGAAGATTCTCGAAACTAAACAAGTCGTGACAACATCGGCCTATTGTCTTAATTAACGAGGAAAAAACCCATTGTATTAATTCTTTCTTCGCTACCTGAAGAGTTTTCCCTCTAATAAAATTTATTTTATCCAAACGCAGGATTATTAAATGTTACTAAATTAATTTTCATCGCCATCTAAATAATCCTTTAATTTCCAACTAATGGAATCGTAATTCAAACCAAAGAAACAGTTGTTATATTTAAAAAACAATTGATTTGATGTGACTAAAAACGTCAATGAAAATCAAGTCTAAATTTGCATAAAAGCGTTAAAATTTCGAATAAATTATTTCTATGGGTGCATCCACTGCATCTACTTGATGTTCATTTCCCCTCAGAAGATCCTTGAATCGTAACAAGTCGTGACAACATCGGCCAATATTCTTAATTAACGAAGAAAAAACCCTCTGTATTAATTCTTTCTTCGTTACCTGAAGAGTTTTCCCTCTAATTGAACTCTTGGGAATCGATCAAAACCCAGAATTAAAACCAAGGCTGCGTATCAAGAAGAAAAGAGAGGTGAGCCTGAAAAAAGCCAAAGTCCATCGGATTGGAGGCGATTTAACGAGTCGAGTGGAGAGCCAAAGAGATCGGTAGGGTTACTCTTTAATTGGAGCGACCGTTAAATTAGACCGGACGTCTTTTTAGGTGAGTCCCCGTGGAGAGCTAATTGGATCGGTAAATCATCCGGTAACCAGACTGCCAAGAGAGTTGAGGGGAGGACTGGGAGGTGGACTAGAGCCCTGGGGAGACTGGTGGCGCTAGGACTACCCCTTCATTCCGTGTTATTACAGTCTAAAGTTACCCCCTCTGTGTAATTGTTGATGTTTAATTGCAAGCTCCGAGTGGTCTCTCCATTCCTACAGAATCCTTTGCTATTTTCCATTCGTGAGGGTGATTCGGGAATCGAATTTTGGCGTTTAGTTGAGCTGAAATATTTTTAGTAGGAGACAATATTGGACATTACTGCAATCACAGAAAGAGTTTAATTGAGGAACTTGATTCTAAACTTGACTTTTATTTGTGCTTTTATTCACGTGGAATAAATAATTTTTTCAATTTAAATAAGTGTTTTAAATATTTTTTTGAAATTTAAATAAATGTAATAAATGTTTTTCTGATCGAAATGAAGAATTTATTGGTCAGAAATGAAATCATTGTGCAAAATGCGAAGACAACGCATTTCGAATTTATGATTAAAAATTACTCTTGAATTTTACTCTTACTACTAGTCTTAGTCAATTCCTGGAATTATCCATGAAATTGCGATTTTTAGGGCCATATGGCAATGAAAATTCTTGAAAATTGTGAAAATTCAGACAACTATTGCTTTAAATTTTCAATCTATGCCAAACTTAACTGAATTTAATAGAATTTTCGCAACGAGTTCAGACATTCAAATTGTTATTCCAATTTCAATACTCGTTCAGTATAAAAAATTCAATTTTGTGAGGTTTCTAAGATGAAAAAATCACTTCCACAACATTGAAAATTCCAACTCCAATGTTACTCAAATTTTAAAAAATGTACAACACTTTAATTAACAAATTTTCATCAAAATAAATACAAAAGAAATGAATAGAAAAATTCGCAACGAAGAGTTTCATTCACGTAATTAAAAACAATTCAGTCACCGTTGTTATCAATTCAATAAATATCTTTTCAAACAAAATTTGAGAGCCGCAAACATTTTCCATCGGTTTCACGATTTCCCCTCTTTTAAATTAAAAAAAAAAATCATTTCCATCTTATACATAAAATTGATGTACAAAAAATTTAAGATATAGAACATCCCAGGGCTCGATGTCAACATAAAAATATCGATGTCACATGACAACGCCGGGATAGTCGGAATTTTTCCACTGTAAAAAACGGGAATGACAAGCAAAAACGGAGGATATATACAACACACAGCGTCCAGCCCCCCCCCTCCCTCCATCGAATCGATTGATTTCTCGAGACAGAATGTGAGTAATTGTCACTGTAGGGAAGACGTAACGTTCGGTTGTCGTTAGAAAAACGAGTGTTACGAATGAGTAAAAAAAAGTGTCTAGCGGTTGTGAGGTGAAGGGGACTGGGAAGGGGAGAAAGTAGTGGGTGGAGTTGTAGCATTGTCGGAGATAGACAATGCACAACGATAAAAACGTAAAATTGATGCTCTTTTGTTCGTATTGTTTGAGACGCTGGTACACATTTGTCGCACGCCACGGCCAATGCCTCCCAAAAACATACACATAACTGTTGTTACTGCCGTATCCCCTCGTGATTTTTTTTTTCACTCTCATGGCTACAGGTTTTTATTTCAAAACCCCCTACTCTTTGCCAATAAGCCCGCATTGTTGAAAGCATCAGTTGGCATTGTAGTTACAGGGGGAGGTTTCGTGTTTTCAATTTTCATCCTCTTATTGTTTTTTAACTGATATTTTTCTCTTTTTTACGTTCTTCTGGATGAAAATGGGGTAATTGAATACGGCGGGGTGATATTGGGAGTGGAATCTTGGGGGATTTGGTGATGTCTGGTGGATGAATTGGATGATAATTGTCGTTGGCTCGATAATCTGAAGGTCGGGGGTTCAAATCCCCACTGAGACTAACTAACATTTCCATCACCGCATACCTTTCGGTTTTTTGCGGATTTTCACTTTCCCAGCAGCATATCAATTCCTGTGGATTTTTCCGGCTTTCGAAAAATTCGAAGCCTTGCAGAGGTGGTCCCTCGTGGCCACCCATCCTTCTAGTGACCACGCTCAGAGCTGCTTATAAAGCTGCGGGACACCCCCAAAAAAGCGGTTGAGAGGAACAGGGATAAAGGCGAATCAAATCCCAATTGCCACTTCCATCTTTCAAATTGCACGTAAAAATGAAATTATCCCTAATAAACAAATCGAGAGTGGTGACGTAGATGGTACAGGCATCGCTGTTAAAATTTTTGACAGCACAAAAAGCTTTCACGTAATACTAAACAAATATTTCTACAGCACCCTTGCAATAAATTCAAAAATAACATGAAACAAAAAAGAAGAGGATTTAAAACTTTTTCAGTACAAAATGCCTCGGGGAAATTAAATAAACATGAGATTAGAGGAGTACTGGAGAGATTGAAGGACAATAATAAGTGAGAGGAATAGGGATAAAGAGAATCAAATCCCAATTGTCACTTCCATCTTTCAAATTTTACGTAAAAATGAAATTATCCCTAATAAAAAAATAGAGAATGCTGACGTAGATGGTAACGACATCGCTGTTAAATTTTTTGACAGCACAAAAAGCCTTCACATAATAATAAACAGATATTTCTACAGCATCGTCTGAACAAATTCAATTTTCAAAATGACATAATACAAAAAAGTAGAGTATTTCAACTTTTTCAATGCAAAATGCCTCACGGAAATTAAAAAAGAATATTAAATAAATATATTCGTCCCATAAACATGAGATACGGTGCTGGAGAGATTGAAGGACAATAATTCAAGAAATTAAATGCGGATAAACGTGAACTGAAATTGGAGAGAGCGGAAAAAGGCAAATCAAATCTGAATTGTTACTCCCATCTTTCAAATTGCAAGTAAGAATAAAATTATCCCTAATAAACAAATGGAAAATGCTTACACAGATGGTAAAGACTCCGCTGTTTACCTTTTTTACAACACGACAAAAGCCTTCACATAATAATAAACAAATATTTCTAGCACCTTCTCACCAAATTCAATTTTCAAATGACGCACTACAAAAAAGAAGAGTATATCGACATTTTCAATGCAAAATGCCTCCGGGAAATTGAGAAAGAATATTAAATAAATATATTCGTCCCATAAACATGAGATTAGAAGAGTGCAGGAGAGATTGAAGGACAATAATTCAAGAAATTAAATGCGGATAAACGTGAACGGAAGTTGGAGAAACAGCGGAAAAAGGCAAATCAAATCTGAATTATTACTCCCATCTTTCAAATTGCAAGTAAGAATAAAATTATTCCTAATAAACAAATGGAAAATGCTTACACAGATGGTAAAGACTCCGCTGTTTACCTTTTTTACAACACGCCAAAAGCCTTCACATAATAATAAACAAATATTTCTAGCACCTTCTCACCAAATTCAATTTTCAAAATGACGCAATACAAAAAAGAAGGGTATATCAACATTTTTAATGCAAAATGCCTCCGGGAAATTGAGAAAGAATATTAAATAAATATATTCATCCCATAAACATGAGATTAGAAGAGTGCTGGAGAGATTGAAGGACAATAATTCAAGAAATGAAATGCAGATAAACGTGAATTGAAGTGAGAGAGACAGGGAAAAAGGCAATCTCGTTCCGAGAAGCAATTCGATACAAAAATGTCAGCAGTATCCGGATAATTATATAACTGGCCGTCGACGGGGATAGCTGGGGAGTCTCGGGATGAGACGTCCCGGGGCAAAGACGAGCACACGCGAGTACTGTGGAGTTGTATGGGGATGGAGGGTGATTTCCCAACTGGCCTGTAAAGCAACCCCCGGAGTGGACTCTGTGTCTCGCGACCAGTTTCGTGTCTCTCTCGATGGCTTATGGAGGCGGCCCTCTGTGTGCTAGAGGGGCACAGGGACGGAAAGAAGCCCCTTTAAGAATTTCCGAGACAATTTCTCGGCATTAAAATGCAGATTCACATTTTCGACGACTTCTGGATTGCACTGGATTGCTTGACAAAAGATTCAGGTGGAATTTTTTTGCGAGTGAATGTATAGACTTTTTTGAGAGCACATGGAGAAAAATGTTCAGTAAAAATTACGGAACACACAATTCGCTCACCGATTACGGAATGGACTCAGAAAATTTAAGTGACGGTATCGTATTATTTCACAGGAGACTCAGATAAAAATTACGGAACGCCCAGGAAAAATTCCGGAATTACGGAAAAGATAGGTAATTTTTATTGGATATTTCTCTCCGTGAAGAATATTTTTACAATCTGTTTAGAAATTATTGGAGGAAATGTTAAATCAATTTTCTACTATTTTTGGCGGATTTGAATGAAATGATTTTTTTCTGCTTTTTAAAAATTTATTTTAGTAAAAATCTTTTAATTATGTGAAATAAATCATTTATTCATTGTAAATAAACAGTTATTACTCATCAATAAATTTTCTGACTCACGAGAAAAAAAATCTCAATTCTAGAAGCTCATTTCGAAAAAGGAAATATTAATTTCAATATTACTTATCAATTTCCCATTCACCTCTTGTCTGAAACCTATCATGAATTGATTGAAAGAGTACCCTATTTCTATAAAACAAATAATTCATTCATTCCAAACAAATTTGGATCGTATAACTGATTTAAATAAACAATTATTACTTCTTAAATCTAACTTTTTGAAACTCATTTCGAAAAAAAAAAATATTAATTTCAATATTACTAATCAATTTCCCATTCAATTCTCACCTGAAACCTATCATGAATTGATTGAAAATGTACACTATTTCGACAAATCAAATGTTACAATTATTTTCCCGATGTCAATTCGTTTGTTTCTTCCCTTCCTGTGCGCAATTCCAGTCTTTTTGGACACTCTGCATGGGTTAATCAAGCCTCAACAACCCTCATGAGACTCCAGCCCTTAACAACCCCCGAATTAACAACAACATCCACGTATCACCCAGAATGATCAACTTTTACGGTTATACTGTGGGTACAGTGGTAATGGTAAGAGGCAGTTTGGGGATAAATATTGACCCCCTGATGGCCAATCAAAGTTTCTCCCTGGATTAATCGTAATTATTTACTCACCGGTGATTGCACTGTTGACAGGCGAAACACTCTAAATGGTAGACGTTTGCACGTGCCCTCATTACCATCTCGAAGGCCGGTATTATTTTTGAACATGCTGCACAGTAGCCTGTATTACCGAACAGTCTTAAGTAATCCCTTTTACAGAGAATTAGGTTGGCTTTTTGGTAGAGGGTTGAGCCTACTTCACCTAATCGACAGTCACAGCAGCCACACTTTAAACAATCCTCGTGCCAGTATAAATCCAAGGCCTTTAGGAGGTACCTAAAGCGTTCAATCCGATTAATTCATTTCGTTTTATTCAATTTATTGATGTTAACGATAAATACACCGAGATAACTGACATTTTAATGGAATAAAACCGTTTATTTTGAAACTTTTCCATTCATTGTAATAATATTTTTTTGGGAAATTAATGAACTCATATTTATTTCGATTTAATTCAAATGAAGTATTAGTAGATGCTAATAAATTTATTTTCTTCGTCTTCTAAAAAATGTAACTAATATATTAATGTCCGACTGATAAGAAGTCATTATTTGAATCAGGAAAATATGTTTATATTGAAAAAATTCTCCATTTGAATAAGAATGGAAATAAAAAACAAGTTTAAGATTAAATAGAAGCGCTCTCAAGAGCTCATTTATTCAATCCAAATAAAATATTTTTAAGGCTTCACTTTAAAAGAAAATATCAATCGTGGGACTAAAGGAAAAAAATAATTTCAAATTCTAAAAGCATTAAAAATTACAATCAATGTAAAAACGAATCACCTTTTTGTGATTTCAAGAATATCATCTCGATTCGAAAAAAATATTAATTAAAATATTGCATAATAATTTCCCATTTAATTCTTGCCTTCAAATTTTTTATTCACTTCGATAATATTTTTTTGAGCAATTAATGAACTCATATTCATTCCGATTTGAGTAATGCAAATAAAGGGTTATTACATTTCAATAAATTAATTCTTTTCACTGTCTAAACAATAATTTCGTTTTTCAATCATGAAATCTTTCTCATTTTCATCAAGACGACATTTATTTACATGAACAAATAATTGATTTGATTCAAATAAATCATTTAAATAAATGAAATTGTGTTGAGCAATCTATTTGGATTTAATCCATCGTTCTTCCATTTATTTACCTCTCAGTAATTATTTTTCCACATCCCGCACATTCCTGCTGTGCGGAGCCATTTTTACTCGTCTCCGACTTGCTCACGTCCATCGTCATGGTGATTGGAACTATTCCGCCGTCTGAAACAACAAAGAGCATCCAAAATTTATAGTCACTTTTCTCGCGGACAATAGAATAATCTAAATCAAATACTAGGAAAAAAAGGCGAAAGACTTTTGAACAAAGAAAAATCCGAAACAAACAGAAAGAAAACTCTAGCATTATTTTTGTTTGCTTAAAACGAATGCAGTCTGTCCCTTTTTTTTACAACCAGCGAACCATTATTTCCGCACCGGAAGTGACCCCCCCCCTCCCACCCCGCGCTGTCGAACTTATTCGATTCGTAGTCTCTTTGTTAACCCCTGAAAATAGCTACACTAAATAAATCGGGGAGAGCACGTAAGATGGATTGTTTGGTTTATTCGATCAATTAAGTCCCAATGACTCGTGTATTTCTAATTTTGAGGGGTAGAGAAATCCAAGGAGAGTAACAAGCCTCGGAGAATCAATTCAGTTAATAATGAAAACTAATAATAGAAAAAATCAATAAATCAATAACAATGCAATTTTTAATGTTGAAAAATTCATGAAAATTTGATTTCAATTTTTTTTTTCGTTGGAGTAAAATGAGAGAATTAATGCCATTTTTTATGAAGGCAAAAACGAGTATATTATCGTTACATTAATGGATTTAAATGTCCGTTTAAAAAATAGAAGAAAAAAACATTCTCAAAGTTTGATTCCGTCTTGCATTCCTTGATTTTTTAATCCATGACAAGACTATTAGTGACTATTCACATAAGGAAGAATGGTATAAAATAGCGTAAGATTGGAAATAAAAGGGAAAAAAGTATCGATAAGAATATTTTCGACGTTTATTTTCTCTAATTGCTTCATGAAGATGTAAAAATGAATAAAAAATCCTGAGACTAATGAAAAGCCCCAAAAAAGTCCCAGAAAAATAATAATAATAAAATTAATTAAATTAAAAAGAAACCTTAATAATTGAAAAATCCTTGTTCTTCAATTAACAAAAGCAAATCTTTCAACTGTTCAAATCCCAAAAAATTGCCCGTCAAAATGAAACCAAAATCTATCTCCATCCCCCCTAAAAAAATAATCATGAAACAAAAAATAAACAAGTCGAAGAAGAACGAAAATAATTGAAGAATTCCTGCCCTTAAATTACCCGAAAAAACCCCTTCAACATCTTTAAATTCCCCACTCCCCTGAAAAATCCCGACTGATGAAGGAATGTCAGAAGCAGTGTCTACCCTGGTTTAACAAGAGCTAGTTTCCCGCTTGTACACGCGGTTCTCCTCGCAAATAGGTGTTTTCCTCAAGTAAAATCAGGAGAAGCGGGGCCGGCAGTTTGTGTCCGAGAGACATCGCACAGGCACGAGGAGGGCGAGAGTTGAAGCGGGGAGTGAATAGAATCGAGCCGCGAGGAGTGAGGGGCGAAGCTATGGATGGAAAATGGGTGGTTGGGTGAAACCGGGGGCTTAATTAATTAGCCGGATACTTTGAGTAACAATCCATTATTACATACAAACATTCCCCTACCCTCTCATTCCGCTCTGAGCCACGGGTATGGCGAGCTTTATGCTGCTAATTGGCCTTCTCAGAGCCGAGAGAACCGTGCGAGTTATAAACGCCAAACTACCCCTTTCTCACCCCCTTCCACTCATTGCCCTCGCCTCCCTCCCTCGCCCCTGTTGCAGTGGCTTCTTCGTGCATTTCATCCCTCTTCTCTCTGGGTATGCTCTTCATCACTGGACCAGACTCCACCTGCATAACGCAACCCCCTCGGCTCCTCTCACCCTCGCGATACCTCCGGATGGCGCTAATAACGTGGCCACGCGTGGTTGAAGGATAAAAAAAGATAAAGAGGTGCATTTTTTTTTCTCTGCAAGCGAGGGAAAATGAGAACGTATAATTGCCAACCCCCCCAGTTCTTCTAATTTTCTTTTTAGGGGATGTTTTTTAAGGGGCTCCTTTGTTTTAGTCTTGTGCACAGCATTTTGGCGCTTTTTACGAGTGCAAGGGTTAATTAGGGGGGCGGAGATTTTACTCGGGTGGATTTTTCAGTTGAGGATTGAGAATTGATCACTGGTTAACAATTTTGGGGGGTTTACTCTTTAAATTTTGAAGTTTTGTCGCCGAAAATTCAAGATTTCATGGAACAATCAGTGGAAATTGTCAATTTCACTTCAATTATTTTGTGAATATTGAGAAAAAACAGAAGAATTTGGGGAAATATATTCTTGAATTAATCGATTGAACATTCCGCGGAAATTGGTACTGCATATTTCTGTTTGGATTGAAAATTCAAGTAATTTGGAGAATTATCGTCTTCCTGTTGCTTTAAAATTTCATTGAATTTTAGAAATTTCAAATTTCATGGTGTTTCCCCATTAATTAATTAATTTAGTCTATTATTCATTAAGTTATTAATTTATTAATTTTTATTTTAGTATATTATTTTTACTTCTTATTTACAAAATTAGTTTCATTCAATTTTTGTTTTGCATTTCTGATTAAATCGAATTCAATTATATTCTCTTGATAATTATTCCCCATGAAATTGCGATTTTTTTCAAGCAGTGCTGTTACACGCAGAGAAATTCTCTAGATAAATTCTAGTGCTACCACGGGAAAAAGACGCAAAATGACAGCCAAGAACAATTGAAGTGCCGGTACTGGAAATTTTATTAAGCAGTACGTGACTTTTTCGCGTTCTTGTATGAAATTTTATCATAAATCCCCGGAAATTTTACCTAAACAGCGCTAGAATTAAAAAAAAACTCTCTCCGTGTACATTTCGAAGTAGATTGGGAAGCAATCACAAATAATTAAACAACAAATATAATTCAATGGAACAAAATAATATAAAATCCCGTGCAAAATGCCCATTCAGAAGTATATTCCTAATTTTGTAGCAAAAATACCTATACGAAGACGAAATCAATTTCCCACTTGTTTCCTCAGTTTCCTCAATTTACATTTCCATCGTTGAAACTCTGATGTAAGTATTTTCAAAACACGAAAGAAACTTTTGATATTGAATATAAAAAACACGAGGCGGCGATATTGGTGATCTTTTGACGCGGTCAACGACGCATTATTATTTTTATATCACAATATATTTTATTTTATTTTTTATTGAAGAAAGAAAAGAGATTACGAGAATGTGCCCTATCAGCGATATATAGGACAGGAGAGACGTCCGTCGTATAGCAGTCGTTCCGGACAGGGCGTTTTCCGTAGTGGGGAGGGGGTGGGTTTGGAGAAGTTGGTTTAATAAAAATGTCAAATATAAAGTAGCCGGCGGGGACGGACGTTTAGGAAATAAATGAATGTAAAGGAGACGACTGAGGGAGAGAGAGAGAGGCGAAATGGGGGTAGTATAAGGGAATATGGCATCGATATAATGTTACGACTTTTGTGGGGTCAGTCGGGTCATTTCGAATGCAGTTCCTGCACGCATATATTATTTATTATGTCGTGGGGGGTTTTACGAATGATTTCTTTAGTGCCCGAACATATTTGACTATTTCCCCTTGCTCCGCCCAGAGGAAACAATTTGTCAAATCATTTTTTAAAATAATTTTTTCATTCTGTGATTTGATTGGGTTATAAATTTATTACATTTTATGGCGTTTGGGAAAATGAGTAACGGATGGAAAATTATAAATCATTACTAATTTTCTATTCGTTGGAATAATTATTCATTACTCACTATTAATTCTTCAAAAAACACTCTTAAATTACTTTTTCTTATTATGAGATCTTATGATTGTCTTTGATGCCCGAACATATTTGGCCATTTCTCCTTGCTCAACCTAAAAGAAACAATTTGTCAGATCATTTTTTTAAATTATTTTTTTACTTTGAAAATTTATGATCATAATTTAAATTATATCAAAAATGTTGTGAATGTATTAGATTATGAACCGATTAAATTTTGTGTTACTTATAAAAATGACTAATTGATGAAAAATTCTACATAATCACTCATTTTTTATTCCTTGGATTAATTACTCATTATTCATTCACAAAAAAAAACTCTATTAAATTATTATTCCTCATTATGAGAGCTTACGATTGGCTTCCGTCGAATTAAAAAAATCTAGTGAATTTATAACATCTTAAATGTATAACATTTCATGATATTTATGGCAATCCATTATGGAAATGAATGACAAACGGAGAAAACGTCAGTCTCTCATTAAGATGAGTAATAAATAAAAACTTCATCGATAATCACGGACTCCTCATCAGTAATTCATCATAAATCGTATTTATTATTCATTATGCAATCTGCGGAATACCTTCGACGAATGATTTTTTTAGTGCCCGAACATATTTAAATGTTTCCCCTCCATTCACAAAAAAAAAACTTCGGCAAAACAATACTTCCCATCAGTAGACCCCATTTGTTCATTCATTCGAATTTGAAGTCTTCATTGAAATTATCCGATGTGAAGTATAAATTTATGATATTGTAAATCAATTATTCTTAACATTTCTGGAAATGCACAAATCATGAGAGAAAAACATCAGTAACTCATTAAGATTAACAAATAAAAAATTCATCGGTAATTACGGATTTCTCGTCAGTAATTTATAACATGTCGTATTTATTATTCATGATACAATTTGTCGAAGAAGTTTGACAAATGATTGTTTTAATGCCCGAACATATTGGACTCGCAGCCATTTACGAAAAAAAACTTGGTCAATTTCTTTATTCATTTATCTATTCGTTATTTTTTATTTCCAGACCTTATTTACTGTCTTCCCTCGAATTATCAGTAATGAAGTATAGATTTATGATATTACAAATCTACTACATTTCTTACCATTTATGGGAACGCATAAATCAAAAGAGAAAAAAAATCAAGAACCCATTAAGATGCGTAATAACTAAAAAAATCATCGATAATTACGAATTTCCCATCAATAATTCATTACACCTCGTGCTAATTATTCATCGCACAATATGTCGAACTAGTTTCACGAATGATCTCTTCAGTGCCCGAACAAACTCGACTATTTCCCCTTCCTCCACCCAAGAAAT